CTTGTGACTTTGGGGGTCGTTCTCATGTTAGGAGCTTTTTGTTTGTGAGCTCAATGGTGTTTGATAGAACGACCCCCCATCCTTTCTTCGTGTCTATACGTGTGTCGTCCTTGTGTCCCGGAGCTCTCGCTTCTGAGTTCCCATTGAGGTTCTACATAGGAGGATTTCTGTGCAGTTCTTGCTAGGAATGAAAGGAAAAAAAAAGAGTAGCATTGGAGTGAGTTCTTAAAGGAGAGCATTGTTATTAAAAGTAGTGTGGCAAGTGTCTAACTCTCTAGTACCCCCCCCCCCAAAGAAAAGAAAGAGAAAGAAAAGGATAGTAGAGAGAAACGAAAAAGAGGTAATAAAACGGGGTCAATAAAGTAGAGAGTGCAACCGAAGATTCGATGAGTATGCTCTAAGTGGGGTTTCTTGGCATGCAAACCATTGAAGCCCCAATATTTTTTAGAACTCCTTCACTACCAAGTCGAAATGTGATAGAAAGAAAGACCGAGGAAGAGCGCTTAACGATAGTTCATGATAGGTGATTGGTTGGAAGGGAGAAGCAAGGTTTTTGGCTGAAGCTAGTGGCCATTGTTTGTAGGGAAGGTTCTTAGTCGAAACCATAGAACCTTTGGGTTTAGGGTAAAGATGTATGACCTCATGTTGTGGTTGCCACCACCCAAAAGCCTTTTCCCCATGTCCAAGATAATTGTCGTTCATTTGAACCTGTGTCTAAGACCTCCGGACAAGCTAGTGATGAAAATCGTCCCGTGAACTCTAGCATTTAGAGGTTGCTGTCGTGGTGAAGAGACGATAGGGCCGAGTGTTGATGATTGTGCACATTCTTTGCACCAAATGGTCCCGACCCCACTAGTCAAGAGAATAAGTGATTCATTCTTGCTCTGCATGTCATATCATACCCCGGTGAGGACCTTTGTTACCCATTTGTTTGTTCCTTGGACTTGAACTGTATGCATGGTTATTTGTGGTTGATGAGTTATCCGGTCGAGACTTGTATAGATTTGCGAATGGGGTGAAACTTTTCGTTTGCACGCTCTAATCATTCGAATTTCGTTTGTGGTGGATGCCGGTATTGCTTGTGATTGTCTATGTGTCAGTGCCAAATAAACATTTGAGATTCATCCATTGTGTGCCCTTTGATGTGTCCCCAAGTTATTATTGTTAGGTTGAAAAAATTACCTTGTTTGAGATTGGTTTGCTTGGGGACAAGAAAATGTTCAAGTGTGGGGGAGTGATTCGGGTCCAATTATACACATTTTGCCCCTTATTTCTTGATAGTTTGACTTTGCATTTCATCGTTCCTTGACATATTTCATACTAGGTCGTGCTTGTTTTCCTACATTTCAGGTCCCAGCACGTGTGGAAGGGTCAAGGACGAGTTTCGGGTCAATTGGACGTCAAGAAGTGCAAAAACCGAAGAAAATGTGACAGTGAAGCACAGACGTCCAGGAACCAGCCGCAGTAACACTTAGTAAGTAACCGTCAATCCAACCAATCATGTATTAAGGTCGAACCTAAATCTAAAATACCGGGGTGTTACAGATCGCATCATCGGGTACACCATTCATCTTGAATCCATTTGTCAGCTGCAGGAACCGGGAAAGGTGCACCCTCGCATCCTCATCCTTCAAGCCATGGAACTGGATAGAGGATGTAATCAGTTGAATCCAGCATGGCTTGATCTCAAAGTTTTTCGCTGGAATGGGCGGAAAGAGGATAACGCGGCGGATGTCGGCGACCCGTGGAGTGTAGTAGTACTCCATAATAGGACCCGACGACAGTGGTGGATGCTGAGCCCCATCTGCCTGGGGGACTGGGTTGTTCCCCAGGATTTGATTCACTGGGGGGACCTGCATGGGCATCCCGAGGGGTTGGTTATGCCACAAGTTGAGGTTCCCCCTATTGTGCTCGTCGCCCATCTCGTATTCCTCGTCGGAGTCGCTGCTCAGATGGCCGTCAATGTGCACTTCCTCCGTAGCCAGTCTCGCTCGCTCTTGTCTCCTTAGTTGGCGACGGGTGCGTTCTAGCTTCGGATCTAACGGTAGTAAACCTACCGATTGGCTTCAAACTCCACGTTCTCCGGATAGAACTGCCTCTTAATTTCTCTCTTAAAATCATCCCACAGTGCCATCACACATGTACCCTTCTTGACGTCTGCTTCACGTCGCCTCCACCAAACCATTGCAATATCGACCAAGTAAAGTGGAGCGGTACAAAGTCTTACCTCATCCTCTGGGATGACGGATGCCTTGAAGTACTGCTCAAAACTCCAAAGGAAGTTCTTTAACTCCCTCGCGTTCATTGATTCCCTGAAGTTCTTTGGTCTTGGAACGTCAACACGTGTGACAGATTGCACCGCGGCTGCTCCGCTAGCCATGGCTCTCTTCATGAGAGTGACCTCACTCTTGAGGTCTGCAATCTCCTCCTTCATGCCACCCTGCTCAGCCTGGACATGCTCTTTCACAACTTCGATTGCGTTGTTCTTGGATTCAAAGATGGTGTTGGTGATGAGGGCTACAAGCTCTTCTCGTAGTCCATCACGCCCAATCTCCAAGCTCGTCAGCCGAGTCAACCTACCTTTTTCTCCTACCCCACTAACTAACATTTTCTCCATCCGGGCTTTAATAACCCCACCCTAACCCATTTTCAATCAAGGCTCAAGCAAACTATATATATTCAACCATAATTACTTCCAATGCAAAATCTAGTTTAGCCCATAAAATGAATAAGAGTCCTACCTGTTGCTAGGGCTCTAGACATCGTAATACTAGTCCATTTGCTGAGAAAAATAAAAGGAAAGTGGATCACCGGAGGAAGGAACTCGAAGATGAATAGCATGGGATATCCTTCTATACCTTCAACCTAACAGAAAAGGGGAAGCCATGGTTGATGAAGATCCAAAAGTCCCTCCAGGTTTTGGGAAGAGTCTCACTGTGGTTTCAGTGGCCGACTCCAAACCATTCGAAGCGCCATGAACACATTGGTGTGGAATTGTAGGGGCTTCGGTCAGACCCTACAGTTCATCAAGTGCGAAAGATGGATAAAAAAATTTAACCCATCATTCTTGTTTCTGCCCGAGACCAAGAAGAATGAGTCTTGCGTGGAACAAAAAAGAAAAGGTATGAGATTTGCTGAAAAGTTTCAACTTTGCTAGTGGAGAGAGCAAGAGGTCTTGCTCTTTAGTGGGTGACACATCTCCCAATCCAAATTATGGAGAGTAGTCTTTTCTTTATAGATGCTTTTGTTAATGTTAATGAGATTTTTTTTCATTACTTATATACATCCCCCATATGATCCAGCTATCAGTAAGGAGTTTTGGGATCATATTAGCAACCTTAGAACTAGTATTGAAATCAAATGGGTATTAGTAGGGTACATAAATGCGATTTTATTTTTGGAAGAAAAGATGTGAGGAGGTCCTCCTAGGAACGAACATCTTGTTCCTTTTAAAGTTTTTTTTAGAGGAAAATGCATTAATGAATATTGGATTCAAGTGGTTATCCCTATGCGTGAAAAAACAGCAAACAAGACTAATGAAGAATCGAATTGAGGACATAGCTCATTGTTCAGCTGCCAGGTTATCTGTGTTCAACAACACCAACGTGTACCACGAACTGCCAAATAAGTTGGATCAATTGGTGGCATTGTGTAATTTGTATCTGTGAAAGCCAAGTAAAGTGGTCTTATAAAATGAAAGTTTGTTTCAAGTTTTACCAAGAATTTTCTCACGTAGTCCGGGTGCGGCCTAACAACCTTGTGTATAACGCAGAAATCAGAAGCCACAAACTCTTTTTAGTTTGAAAGGTGAACAAAATTTTGGGTATTTTTTTACTGTATCCCTAAATGCTGCCTCTTTTTACTTCTTCATTCTTACGATCTACCGTTATCTTCAATGATGTACATCTAATACGGATTCTCCGATTGAGAGTTTTACCTACTGGTAAGTAAAGTATTTCCAAATTGTATGATTGGCAAATAATCACATAAAAAATCTCCTACCACAAACTCAGTAAATCAAACCTTAAAAAGCATACTAGAAACCTGCTAATGCAGTCCACAACTCTCCTTAAACATACCAGAAACCCCATAAAGCATATCATCAACCTCCTAATGCAGACCACAAACACGATAAAACAAACCATAAAAAAGCAAACCAGAAACCTCCTAATGCATACCACAAATCCCCTAAAACAAACCAGAAACCCCACAATGCAAACCACAACATTTGCGAAAGCACACCAAAAACCCCCTGATGCAAACCACAAACGTGGAAAAGCAAACCACAAAAAAACAAACCATAAACGTCCTAATGCAGACCACAAATATATTAAAACAAACCAGAAATCTCACAAGGCAAACCACAAAATTTTCGAAAGTAAACCAGAAACTTCTCAATGCAAACCACAAACACGATAAAGCAAACAAGAAACTCCTCAATGCAAACCACAAACACGATAAAGCAAACCACAAAAGTCATACAAAAATATGAGAAACCAAACCATAAATCTCACAATGCTAACCATAACATCCGGTGGTCATTGACCAAACTCAGATGACCGTCAGTGAGCAGATTCCGACGCCGATAGACATATTCTGGCCCCGATGACTAGATTTCGATGCGGGTAAGCATATTCCGACCACGGTAAGCATATTTCCGCAGACAGTTATAGCATATTCCGGCGACAAAAAGTATATTCCGGTGACCGGCGGCCAGATTCCGTTGATTGAATTCCGGCAACCAAATTTTTGGGCAGAAAATTAAAAAATATTTTTATTATTTAAATATATTTTTCATAATGACAATTATATCTCTCTTTGATTTTACCTTAGGTCAACTCAGCAAATAAAAAATCATCACAACTCTAACTTTCTATTGGTTGAATACTAGTGTTGTTATAATAACAATACAAGGAGTTTTGTCACACTATCTCGTCCCGAAAAAACGAGCCCACCAAATATTGAAGAACTTTCCAGAACCGTGTGTTTCTTCTGGAATATCAGGAACCGTGTGTTTCTTCCAGCCCCAGCGAACCTCCGACCAACTTTTTTTTTGGGTAATACGTTGGCGGGATTGGGAACGACGTATCATTCCTTATCAGCATAAAGCGAGTTCAGCATCCCTTGGATTAAGAAACACTTACCATGGCATCCAAATCCTTGGCGGCAGCTGCGCAGAAGATAGGTCCCGCCATGAGGCGGCAGGCCGTGACGTTAACCGACGCGGCGGCGTCGAGGATACGCCAGCTGTTGCAGCAACGACAAAGGCCTTTCCTCCGGCTAGGCGTCAAGGCTCGCGGATGCAACGGCTTATCCTACACGCTCAATTACGCAGGTACTTCGCTTATGCTATTTTCCTTCTTTCAATCCCCTCTCAGGGATGTTAGGTTTTGCTTTCCGATGCTCTTATCAAGATTCGGATATCGTCTGCTGTTGAGACTGAAATTGGTATTGTTGAAATGCTCTGGTCTTGCTGTGATATGATGATTATCCTCTTCTCTGGAAATAGAAATCCACCTCTTGCTTAATCGCCATAGAATTTCTAGGGGAGAGGAGAGCAAAGGAGGCCATTAGTCTTATTAGGCTAATAGTGAATCATATGTTGGATGCCTCTGTTGGCATCCATCTCATTTTCCCTTTTCCCTTCAAGAATTGCCTCAATGGTAATTGATAACGGCAGCCACTTTTTTGTGTATGGCGACAGTGCAGTTCAAGCAGATAGTTATTACCATGTTTAGCTAGCTACCTGTTCATGTTATGTTGCTACCATAAACATCTTCTTCTGTTTCTGGTGCTGCACCTTCTATACTTGTGATTGCTGGTACAGTGAAGCTACCGAATTTGAAAGAGAAGATGTTGCTGTTTTGTCAACTTTTCACGATTTTAACAGATGAGAAAGGGAAATTCGATGAGTTAATCGAAGAAAAGGGTGTGAAGGTACTGATTGAACCCAAGGCTCTCATGCACGTGATAGGAACCAAGATGGATTTTGTTGACGACAAACTCAGGTACGTTTCTTGAAGTATGATAGGCAGACTCTGTTATCTACTTGACATTCGTTGTATGAATGTCCAAGCTGCTGCTGCTGCCTCTCTCTCATTTCCATCGTTGCTGCCTGCTTTCTCATATACTCCCTCTGGAATAAATATGTATCTGCTTTCTGATACGTGTTGAAATCGTATGAGTGAATGGATCCCTTTTCTTGGCGGGATTGAACCAGTTTTCTCCTTTCTTGGCGAGAATGGCCAGGGGTTTCTTGACTCTGAAATTAGCTACCCTCTATTCAATTGATTTCTACCTTAAATACATGAATTGGAAAGAAGCTATCTAAGTGGAACAAACTCCACGTTCTTCTCTAATGCTACTGCACTTTCTCCACTAAACATGGAGATAATTATTCCTAACTCACCACTAACTATAACAACTTGCACCACTAACTCTAACAAACTTGCTACGTGGCTCAAGGCCTTGCTCTTGATGGGCTGGGCTAATTATTCCTCCTAATCGTAGTAACGAGTGTTGGGCTACGAATGTCGAGCTGACTGACAAATTGTACACTCATCATTACCAACCCCTGAAAAACGGCCTTGTCCTCAAGGCCGAGCTTAATGAAGCGATGATTGAAAACGGAGGCCATCTTGTAGGTAGGATCATTGATGAAATGCCGCCTTCCAATACCCCATTTCATTCTTAACCCATATCTGTGAGCTGGTTTGGTCCATAAGTCAACCCATATAGCTGAACTGACCTCACCCCCTTCGGCTTGTTCATCCCTTTTCCACTTGTTCATTTGCTCCTCAAACGACGTCGCTTGCATGTTCGCAATCTTCGCCCACACTCTGCGCTTCCTAAAACTTTTACAGCTCCTCCTTGAGATCACCTTGTCGTAGGTTGTGATCATTAAGGTCGGCGTGTCGAGATTGACGGCGGAGGGGACCATCGATTGCTTCGTCGGCAGTGGCAATGGTGATTCAATCACAATCGATTCACTATTGTCAATGTCGGTGGCGGCGGTAGCTTCGGCATCGCGCTTGAGCTTGTAAATCTTGTCCCCAAAGACTTTGTCAATGTAGCAACAATCCAGAGTGCAGGTCATTGGTTCTTTCTTCGCCTGGGCCTGCAGCTTCCCTTTTGGAATTGGATTCTCGTTCCACTTCTTCCTTCTCTTCCACCAGTGGATAAAATCACCGTCAACACCATACAATCCTACAAAAACCTCACCTTTCTTTCTAAACTTCCAAGACTTCAATTGACCCAATATTCTCCTACCTCTAATGTGAATAGCACATTTGTTGGCTATTCCGATACCCCATAATAGGACATACCCCTGCATTTGGTGCCGATCCGTAACTAACAAAGTTTGCAGCTTTCCCATATGATGGTGCTTAATGGTGAGGCGTAGGGAAGCAGGAGCGGCTTTGACAGTTGATTCGAGCGGTGGCTTTGCTTCAACAACGAGTGATGGTGATTCTGTTGTGCGCACATGTGGAGAGATCAGCGACGCCGTGGGCAGCTTTGGAACTAAGGTGGAAGCGATGGGCAATGGATCCACCTTCACGGCAACTAGGGTCTCAACTTGTGATGGCGATGGTGGTGCAGCATCAACGTCGTCGTCGTTTTCTTCCTCTTCCTTTATCGACTTTGCTAGAGCTTCGTTTTTCGACGGTGGCGGTGCGGTTGCTACAAGTGGGCCGGCGATCCGCCTCTTCCATGGCAGCCATGATCTCAACTTGCGGCGGCGGTGGTGTTCTGACTCTATCGTAAGCCGTGATGGCTCTACGGCAAGCTGCCATCGCAATATCCAAGGATGTCATCATCCGATTGATGAGTTCATCTCTTGATGGTTTCTTTGAGTTCGCCATGATCGAAACACGGATCAACGGCTCTGATACCAAATGATACGTGTTGAAATCGTATGAGTGAATGGATCCCTTTTTTGGCGGGATTGAACCAGTTTTCTCCTTTCTTGGCGAGAATGGCCAGGAGTTTCTTGATTCTGAAATTCGCTACCCTCTATTCAATTGATTTCTACCTTAAATACATGAATTGGAAAGAAGCTATCTAAGTGGAACAAACTCCACGTTCTTCTCTAATGCTACTGCACTTTCTCCACTAAACATGGAGATAATTATTCGTAACTCACCACTAACTATAACAACTTCCACCACTAACTCTAACAAACTTGCTACGTGGCTCAAGGCCTTGCTCTTGATGGGCTGTGCTAATTATTCCTCCTAATCGTAGTAACGAGTGTTGGGCTACGAATGTCGAGCTGACTGACGAATTGTACACTCATCACTTTCCTTTGCATTGCAGGTCAGAGTTCGTATTCATCAATCCAAACTCTCAAGGCCAGTGTGGTTGTGGCGAGTCTTTCATGACGACTTCCACCACTGCTAAACCACAAGGTAGCAGCAACAGCAGCCGATTGGAGCGCTGATAGCTGTTTGTTGGCTTACTGACAGATTGCATCATCTGTAAACTTGTGGCAAATGTTGGGGTGGGGCGTTTCTACTCTACCCCTGTTGATATTAATAATTGTTCGACACATGTAAAGGCAAGTAATGGTTCGACTTTGTAAGATATATCTTGCACCGTTTCTGACCTCCGACCTGAGATTATACATGCTTGTTCGTGTTCCAGCGTCTCCTTGACACGCTTTCATGTAGCCTTGCCAAAGAACTCTCTTCTCTGAGCCTTGTTTTCACTGCAAACCGAAACATATGCAATTATCGAGACGTTAACGCTTGGTGTAAGATTGTGGCAGTTCCTGCGAGTGCTCGGCCTCACATTTGAAAGAGCAAGCAGTTTCACTATTAGTAGATTATACTTCGTCTTGAGCAAGTTTTATGGGTGTTTCGAGCGAACATCACTTAGACTTGTGCCCGCAGGGAAGATTAACAAGGACATGCAACTCAATTTTACCTGCTATGCTTTCTAATTATCGACCAACTATATTCGAAATCATTGTTCAGTACAACTATCTTCGTCTTGTCCACTAATCACTATTTAATCTTCGTCTTGTCCACTAATCACTATTTTGTCTACTGATGCATAATCCGAATCAGAAAATAGATGAATTACCCCAACTTGGGTTACTAGCCAGATCAGTTGGCCTTAGATCACTTGAATCAGAGAGTTGAATCACCTCATCTTGTGTCCCTAGCCAGATCACTTGAGCTTAGAAATGAAAAATATGAGCATCGGTGACATCTTACGTGAACAAGCATCTGCATCTGCATCTGCATCCGACTTAACTTATTTTCCTGTGACGAAACAAATTAAGTAGCGCTGTATCCTATCCTCTGCACCGAGCTGAGAGATTTAGCTAATGCCCATCATGTTAGAAGTTGGGGTGAAAGTAAATTATATCACTAATAATGTTCCTAATGAAGCTTGAGACTTGTGGCATTGACACTATTAGAAGTTTTGGATTTAGATGGAGTTTGTGAAGGGAAGACTTGATTATGCATTGATTGGGTATACAACGTTAATATACAGAGGAGATGAGAGTTTCTAGCAACAGAATGTTGCCCACTCTCTCACGTTCCATAACAATAGGAACATAAATTGAATAAATAAAAAATAACTAAAAATGCATTTAGTTAGTGTCTCTAATACACCCCCGCAAGACGGAGGAGGAATCAACGACGCCTATCTTGGACCGTGGTAGGAGGAAGCGTGTAGCCGACAATGGCTTAGTGAGGGCGTCAGCCAACTGATGAGAAGTGGGAATGTAAGAGACTTGCAGACGACCCGCCTGAACAAGCTGTCGGACGAAGTGATAGTCCAACGCAAGATGCTTCATGCGAGAGTGGAATATTGGATTCGAACTGAAGTATGTGGCACCAAGGTTGTCGGAGTAGAGGCGTGGAGTGGTAGGGACGGACTGATGAAGTTCTTGGAGAAGGTTCTGGAGCCATTCCAATTCAGCAGTGGCATGAGTAATGGCACCGTATTCCGCCTCAGTACTAGAACGAGCAACTGTGCGCTGTTTTTGTGAACTCCAGGAGACTAGAGTGGAGCCGAAGTAGATCAGGTAGCCAGATGTGGAGGATCGGTCATCGTGATTGCCAGCCCAGTCGGAGTCAGCAAAGGCAGAGAGAGACAGAGGAGCGGCTGAGCGACAAATGGAAAGTCCATAGGTGAGGGTGTCAGAGATATAGCGAAGTAGGCGCTTGACACACTGCTAGTGATAAGTGGTTGGTGCATGCATGTACTGAGAGATCTTGTTGACAGAATAGGCAATGTCCGGGCGTGTATAGACAAGATATTGAAGAGCACCTAACCTGGTGTAATCGAGTAGCATCTGAAGGGGGACTACCATCAGTGAGAGTAAGTGTCGTGGTCGAGAGCATGGGAGTAGCAACAGCCTTGGCATCGGTCATGAGAAAGCGACTGAGGAGATCCACCATGTATTTATGTCGAGATAGTAAGTAACCATTGGTTGTGGGAATTACCTCGATGCCCAAGAAATAATTGATATCACCAAGGGCCTTGAGAGGAAAACGAGCAGAGAGAGCCTGCTGGAAGGTGTGGAGAGTAGCGGAATCGTTCCTAGTGAGAAGGAGATCATCAAAATAGACCAAAAAATATAGTTACATAGGCCCTCGAGAGTAGACAAAGAGTGCAGCGGCCGATATAGTGGCAGGGGAGGGTGAGATGGTGTAACCTGCACAAGAAGTTTCAACAAAAATAACATGTCGGGATAGGAAAATTCGGTGAGTGGATGGGTCAAAGCATCGATAGGCACTGCGTTGAGGGTAGTAGTCGAGAAAAAGACACGGGCGGGAGCGAGGGTCTAATTTATGAGCGGAGTAGGGACGAAGCCAAGGATAGCAGAGACATCCAAACATTCGTAGTTTATGGTAATTGGGAGTTAAATTAAACAAAAGTGTGTAGGGAATGTTACCACGGAGGGCAGACGAAGGAAGGCGATTGATGAGATAGATAGAAGTTGAAAAAGCAAACGACCAAAAAGATGTAGGAAGATTAGCATGATGGAGAAGGGCAAGACCTGTTTCAACCAAATGATGATGTTTGCGTTCTGCGAGGCCATTGTGTTCTGGCGTGTGAGGTGGAGTGAGAAGATGTGTAATACCATTATTAATGAGATCAGGACGCAGTTTTTAAAATTCCCCACCACCATCCGTGTATAGGCGACGAATAGTGGTAGAAAAATAATTTTTAACCATCTTCCTAAAGTCAAGAAAAACTTTAAGAACATCAGATTTTAGGCGGAGAGGATAATACCAGGTATATCTAGTAAAGTGATCAATAATAACCAGATAATAGCGATAATTATCAATGGAAGAAACATGAGCAGGACCCCAAACATCAGTATATAACAAATCAAAATGTCGTTCACTTGATAAAGAGGAAATGAAAAATGGTAGTTTATGGCTTTTATTCGAAAGGCAAGCATCACAATGAGAGCTAGCTACAAAAGAAAAACTGGAATATATTTAGACCGAATGAGACTGGTAAGGGATTGATGGGAAGGATGACCGAGGCGAGCATGCCAGGAAGATGTGAATGTGCGAGACGTCACCAGGGCCATTCTAATATTCTCCACCTCACGTGGGAGATCATAGACATCACCGTTGTTTTCCCCACTCAGCAAGAGCGCCCCCGTGCGAAGATCCTTCGCAAGAAAATGAGTGGCAAAAAATTCCACAGATACCGGATTAGTGCAACATAATTGAGCAACAGATATGAGATGCCGCTTGATACTAGGTACACATAATATGTCTTTTAAGTGAAATAAATTGGAACCAACGAAAATATGCGAAGATCCAATATGTGAGGTAGCCAAACCTGATCCATCACCAACAAGAATCTCATCCGGGCCCGAATAATATGAGTAAAGAGACAAGTGGCCCGAATCTGAAGTTACATGATGTGAGGCTGCTGAGTCCATTAACCACGACCCATATGCTGAAGGAGGGTTGGAGGGGATTGTATGATGGACCTGCCCCTGACGGGCCTGATTAAATGCTTGACAGGCTTGGGGAAACAACCTGAAATTGCCTCATGGAATGGCCTTGTTTTTCACAATATTGACAAATAACAACCCCTTTGCATGGCGGATTGGGCTCAGCTGCTGGATAAGGCCCAAATAAATGGGCCGAAGAAGAGTGGAGCATCTGTGTGCCACGGGCTTGAGGAAGAAGCCCATTGTAGCCCCCATTGTAGCCGCTGGACTCATTCCCAAAGCCTGGCGGACGAGTCTCATTCCCAGGTCGAGCAAAGTGGTAGCCGCCGCCACGGTTTCCATTGCTGCCATCGCGATGAGTGCTGCCCTGTGAATAGAAAGCTGTCGAAACAGCCCGTCTCTGTGCTTTCAGATCGGCCTCGAACTCTATAAGAGAATCGAGGAGTTCTTCTATGGTTATGGCAGACCCCCTTGCACGAACCGCTACCGAAAATTGATTGTACTCTTCGCTTAAACCACGAAGACAGTAAACCACCATATCCAAATCCTTGACCAGATCATCAATGAGGGCAAGCTCTGCGGCAATGAGCTTCAAGTCATTTACATAGGTCTGAACATCTCGATCTCCCTTATTAATTCTAGCCAAATTTCCTTTCAAGTGTATAATACGGGATTGAGAGCGACTACCATATAATTTTTCCAGAACTAACCATGCTTCGCGAGATGTGACAGCAGCCGAGACATAAGAATAGAGGGATTCTGAAATGGAACTCCGAAGGGCATGGAGAATTAACTTATCTTGGCGATACTAGTGGTGGTACGCGGGATTAGGCTTGGTGGTGTTCTCTGCCGTGATCGTTTTAGCAGGGACAATTCTGGTGCCGTCAATAAAGGCGATGAGACCTGATCCCATCAACAGTGTTTATAATTGCGATCTCCAAGAATGGAAATTGGTCGAGGTTAGCTTCAGAGGTAGCTGTGCTGCCGGGTTGAAGGTGATGATTGAGTCTTTAGCAGTGGACATGATGAGACAGAGTAGTAGATGAAGAGAATACAGATGTGTATGAATAAAGAAGGAAACGCAGACTGTGGAGCTGGATCGAGGCTAGGTGAGCATGTCTAGCTCTGATACCATATTAGAAGTTTTGGATTTAGATGCAGTTTGTGAAGGGAAGACTTGATTATGCATTGATTGGGTAAACAACGTTAATGTATAGAGGAGATGAGAGTTTCTAGCAACAGAATGTTGCCCACTTTCTCACGTTCCATAACAATAGGAACAGAAATTGAATAAATAAAAAATAACTAAAAATGCTTTTAGTTAGTGTCTCTAATAGACACTTAAATCAACCTACTGGAGCCGCCCATTAATGTACAACCTCTGGATCTCATACAATGCTTTCAATTCACTTGGTTGGTTCTGCTCCGGATCTCCCCCATAGGCGCACAGCTCTGGGCAGTAGAAAAGCGAAGTACTCATAATGGACAACTCAGGTTTCTTGTTGTTGGGTCTAGTGTTAACCTGCCTAATACGGGCCCAAGCCCACCACAAAGTGTCTCACTTTGGACCCAAGCCCATTCTAGGCTCCAGTACACCGGGAGGCTTCCAGTCCACTCGGGGGCGTCCTTTACACGAAAGCATCCCTTACCGGGAGGCGTCCACCACCAAAAGGCGTCCACTCTCTGGAAGGCGTCCATCGATGGGAGGCATCCAGTCTACCGGGGGCGTCCATGACAACGGGAGGCGCCCACCACCGGGAGGTGTCCACTGGATGCCTCCGACTCCTATATAAGGAGGCCAGACC